AAAAATTATGCGATCTCCAATATAACTTATTCTGCTTCTAAACATCCAGTTTAGGTCCTATGATACGCTCTTATCACAACACAGCAAAAGTTTTACCCTGTCATACTACAAAACAAATACGGTGCAGTCTCGAGCTCTGATACAGTCCTGTATTTTAACATAATCCATGCCTTAAAATAAAAATCATTAAAAAAAAAAAAGGCAGTTGAACAAACTGCTGGGAAGTGCAGCTCCCTAACTCATATCTAACTTGAATTTGAACTAATTACCTACCAATGAAGAAACTAAAACCTTGCAAGCTGTTTTGATCTGTATGACATTACTTTCCTGTTTTCATTATTTTGCAGAATGCAACAGAAATACAAATACCACAGACGCTATCTCATCCTATAGTCAAGCTCATTTGAAGGTTTTACTTCATTCATTTAAAGTCATATGAATAGCCTGGCTGCTAGGGACAGTCAAATAACTTCCTTGAAACCAGCAGATGTACTAGGTTGTCTTGAAGACAAAAATTAAGCAGGTTATTTTGAAACGGATGAGAGTCTCTAATTTCAAGCAGCAAAGATAGAATAAAAATTACTGTGCATGTAATAAAAGAACTCTGTCATCACAAAAATGTATGGAGAACATGTAAAATTATAATTAAAAAAAGCTGCATTTTGTGTCTGCTGTGCATCCCCAGGCGGTGTTAAGGATCAGCGGCGTTTCAGAGAAGAAGTTTCAAGAAATTTCACAGTTAGGACCCAGTCCCATTGCTGGCTACATTGAAACGAGCCCTTCATATAATTTCTTAGGACAAGCTACTTCAGTCAATAGCCATGAATCAAGTTCCATTCTCTTTAGTAACAGCATTTGCGAAAAATTGGGGGGTCAGGATTTGTTTGTGCATAAAGTTAGCAGGGGCGGGCAGGTGGGTGGCAGGAGGCAGGGAAGAGCTGGAGCCGAGGAGGAAATAGCGAAGGCGGCATGCGCTGGCTTTGACCTTTTGAACCACAAGCTTAAAGTAAGAATCTCCAAGAGCTGCTGGCTTCAACTCTTACACAGTCCGTTTCAAGAGAAGCACAATCCAATTCCAAATAAATAATTACCGGTTGACAGTAAAACTAAATAAGCACTGGAAGAGCAACCTACTGGGTTTTATGGTTTCGCACACAAGGTACGGGAGAATTAAGCGCACAGACGCTATGTCCTTCCACAAGATCTCCCCATCAGAGACACGGGCCCCACAGCGACCGAAAATCGGCCATTATACGGCAATTTCTTAAGCTCCCCGTGCAGAACACACCAGGCTTTGTCACATCCTGTTCCAGACGCCCCCCTCCCTGCCCGGCCACGCCGCGGGGCCCGCTGGCCTGCGGGCGAGGGGACCCCCCCTGCGGCCCGAGGCGCTCTGCCCCGCCGGCGGGCACGGCCTCACCTGCCGCCGTTCCATCTTTGTTCTACGTTCCGCTCCGGCCCCGCGCAAGCGGAAGCGCAGGTGGGAGGAGAAGGGGCCGCGGCCCCGCTGCAAACCCCAGAGAACGCGGGGCTCCCCCCCCACCCCAGCCCCACACTCCTCGCCCAGCGCAGCCGCCACCCCCGACAGCGGGGCCCGAGGGGGTACGAGCGGGGAGAAAGGGAGAACGCGGCAGAGAAGGAAGGGCAGACATGTCCCCGTCCCCACCCCCTTCCCCCGCCGCTCCTCCACAACGACCCCGCCAGACCCAAAGAAAGGGGACGGAAAGGCGCCCCGTTCCCTACACCCCGGGGCCGGGCCGAGCCCCCCGCCTCGAGTCGGCAGCCCCCTCCCGCCGGCCTCCCCTCCCCCACCGCGCCGCGTCCGTGAGGGAGCGGGCGGGCCTGGCGGCGGCCGCGGCCGCTCAAGGCGGCGGCGAGGCTCCAGGGGAGCCGCGGTCTCCCCTTACCCATGAGGATGCGCATCTGCTTCTTGCCGAAGAGGCGCGAGAAGAGCGAGGAGATGGTGAGGCCCATGGCGGCTCCGGCGCGGGGCTGGGCGGCGGCGGAGGGAGGGGGCAAGCGGAACGGCTCCTGTCTACGCTGAGGGATCCCTCCGCGAGCGAGGAGGCAGCTGCTGAGATGCGGGGGCTCGCCCGGCGGGGCTGACTTATAAGCAGGCGGCGGCAGCGGCGGCTGCTCGGTGACCGGGAACCTCGCTCGCTCGTTCTCTGCCACGTCACGCTCGCCACGGCCGCCCCGGCTCCAACGCGGACAGAATCACGTCACGCCTCGCCACATCCCCCGGCCGCGGAACCACCCCCCGCCGCCGCCGCACGGCCCCAACGGCGGCGCGGACTACGACTCCCGGCAAGCACCGCGCCCGCCGCGCGTCTGGCACCTGCAACGGCCGCCGCTAGAGCATGGCGGGAGATGTAGTCAAGCGCTCCTCCCCGCCTCGCCGCCCCGGGCGAGGCGGAGCGTTGCATGCCGGGAGGTGTAGTCCGCCGGGCGCCCCGCCGCGCCTCAGGCCGAGGCCCAGCGGCCGGCCCCGCAGCACCGAGCCGGGGAGCCGGGAAGCCGCTCCCCCGGGGCTCCCCCCCAAGCCCCAGTAATTAACCTCACGGCGGGGCACGCTCCCGCT